AAGCCCAGTGTGGTGGGATCTGAGGCACGAGGCTCCGGCCCTTGCAGTCCACGTGCGCCGGAGGGACAGACCTTTACTCTGGGTTTCCCTGGGACCAGCGGGGTGTCCCTCCAAAGCGCACACGCTCGCTCGTGTGGCGGTGGTGGAGTGGAGGGAAGAGGGAGACTCGCTGCGGAAACCACCGTTCTTCAGCCGACTCCGCAGGGGCTCTCAGATGGAGCGGAAGCTGCCATAGAGCTGCCCAGGCCTTCCCCTGGGAGGGTTTTTTCTGGGACACACTGAGCCCCAGGGGTAACCACAGAAGTAACCCCATCACCCTCAACCTGAACAGCCCACAGCCCATGCCTCTGGGAGGGTGGCCAGCTGGCTGGTGGTGGGAGCCCAGCGCTGCCTCAGGGGGCGTCCTGCAGGGAGGGAGCTCCAGCGCCCACTGTGGGCGTTTGGGGGTCACTTCCATGTCAGCCACATGCACCAGGTCCTTGTCTCAGGCTGGGGATGCCAGTGAGGGCGGAACTCTTCCCAGAGACCACATGCCCCCCCACGGCAGCCACAGAAAGTGGGGATCCCATTCTTCCCATGCAGCTCACTGCTGCCCCCCCATACCCCCCAACACCCCCCCAGGCAGAGTCTGCACAGGGGAGGCACCGGGTGGCTGCTGTTGGGGTGTGGCTCCTGCAGGGAAGGCCAGGGAGCCCGAGGGATGTCTCTGAGCCCAGGGAGAGGCTCAGCCAGACCTGCTGGGCCCGGAACTCCCAGGCCTCTCCCCAGGTAACCCGGCCACAGGGGTCAGGAGGGCTGTTCTGCAGGCTAAGTGCCCGTCCACGGCAACCTGCCAAGCCAGACGGGGAGCCCCCACCCGCTCAGGGCAGGTGGCAGGAAGGGCCAGGGCAGTATTCCCCTGCCAGACCCTCCCTGGCCAGGGCCCCTCCCCAGTGCCACCCTCCAGAGCAGCCCTTGCTGTACTCAGCACCCTGGGTGGACTTCAGAATGTATTGTCATCATGTCACACTGAGTGTGGGCGCCGGGCTGGGGCCTGCCGCCTGGTCTGATGGACCACCCAGCCCAGAGGGGAGCCAGTTGTGGAGAGAGAGTTCGAGTTCCCAAAGCCCGGAGCGCGGGCAGGGGACGAGCAGGACAGAGGCGCCTGCCTAGGCCACAGGCAGGGGAGGTGGCTCAGAGGGGCGGCCTGCAAACATCAGCCCTGGCGGGCAGGTGCGGGCACGGGGCCAGCAGGGACGGAGAGGAGGAGGCGGGGAGTGGGCCAAGCCGCGGGCCGGGAGGCCTGGGCCGGCCGCAGGCACGAGGTGTGCGGAGGAGCCTGGGGAGGCGGTTGAGCAGGACGGTGACCAGGGGGAGCCTGTTTGTCAACAGACTCCTGTGCCGGGCGACTCGGCGCCGGGCTGGGGCCCTCTCACCACGTGCGACGGGAGGGGGTGGGCACGAGGCGGGCGCACGGCCTCGGGTGGGTGGCCTCGCTCACTGCCCACCTCTGCCCTCGCCCGTCTCCACGGAGGGAGCTGCGGCTCGCGGAGGAAAGGGCTCAGCCAGTGCCCCCTGCGCTCCTTCCCAGCACCCGGCGCCTGGCAGCGGCCAGCCTGGCACTGCAGGGAGGCATCTCGGTCTGGGAGGGGGCTTGCCCACACCTCCTGGTGGCTGGCGTTTCTGGGGTTTCAGCAGGTGCCCAGGCCCGGCCTCCCTGGGCTCCCACGGCTCTCGCTTTGTTTGCCACTCGTCGCCCAGGCCAGGAGGCAAGAGCACGCCAGGGCGACAACCCAAGGACGAGGCTGGCGGCAACGCACGGGCACATGGAGAACTGGAGGCGCCGGGCCGTCCCCTCTCTCGGCTCCACGCCTAGCACCACCCCCGCGGCCAGGGCGACTGCCCAGCCTGGCCGCCTCCGGCTGACCTCGCCTCTGCTCCTCACGCCTCATTCCGCGCGGCCGGCAGCCTGCCTCCCCTCTGGCTCCAGGCTCCTAAAGGGATGGGTGATCCTTTGAGATCCTCCCGGCAAGTCTGGGCGAGCTCGCAAGCTCCCAACTGCGTTGGGTGCCTCTACGGGAACCCACCACCACCAGCCTCTGCCGCCGGCCTCCCGGGCTGGGCGCCGGGCACACTCTTTCTCGGGAGGGGTCGGGGGCAGGGCATTGCATGGACAAAACTGTCCTGTCCTCAGACAGGTCCCTGTCCCCTCTGGGCCTCAGTTTCCCCTTCGGTGAGGAGGTAGAGGAAGGTCCCTCCAGCTCTGAGATCTGGCAATTTAGGGTTGGATTGGGAGCAGAGAAAATTCCCAGAATCCCAGGAGTCCCAACATGGCCCATGCCCTTTGTCCAGCCATCCTGAGACGGCTGAGCTGATAAGACTGTGGGCGGCCAGATGTCCACATTCTTGGGACGATGGTGGGCGGGGCCAGCTCAGCCGCTGGTGGTTCAGGGCCCCAGGGGCCCGGCATGTGGGCCACAGGAGCCAGGGCCCAGCATGTCAGCGGTGCCCCCAGGGCCCGGCCCAGCGGGAGGCAGTCTCATTGCAAGGTTTCAAGGAAAGAAGCCAGTCCTGGGGAGGACATGTCTGCCCCCCTCCCAGCCCTGTCTGTCCCCTCCCAGTCCTATCTGCCCCCCTCCCTGCCCCCCTCCACAGCCTTGGTTAGCCCTGTCTGTCCCCCTCCCAGTCCAGCTCAGCTTCCTTTGAAGCTCAGTCGGGAGAACCGCTCCTGGGCCTCTCCCTGAAGGACCGGGCCTGCTGGCGTCCCCCCGCCCCCCCCCCCCCCTCTCCGGGCTCAGCCAGCGGGGGCGGAGCGAGGCCTTCCTCGCCCTTCACTTCCAACCCCCAGGGGGGCTGAGCTCCTCTCTGCTAGACCCAGGCGACATTTCAGCCACCACACCTAATGTGGCACCCTCGTGGCACAATTGTTGCCGGTTAGGGCATCCCCTTGGGTAAAAAAAAAAATGTAGATTTTCCTGCTATGAACTTCAGGGCTCAGGAAAACACAGACAGCTTGGTCTCACTGCTGCTGCCAGCACCCAGGAAAAGCTGCTATCAGCAAGCAGGGTCTGGGAGGCCCAGGGGCATTGCCCACGATGGGCCCTGGAGGCTGCTCCCAGAGGTTAGGGGAGCTGGGACCCCATGATCAGCTAAATTGGGGAGTCCCAGGACCTTTGATCTACGCTGGGGATGTGAGTTAACAAGGAGGGTATGGGGTATAGAATAAACCTGAGTCCCGGCCGTGCCTTCCCCAGCCTGGACCTCTGGGCCCACCTTTCAAATAGGGGGGTGGGGTCCTCCTCGGAGCTGCTGGGAGGGTGAAGTAGACATAAAGCCGGGCGCTGGTGTCCATGAGCAGCGGTGATGAGTCAGACCAGGCCTGGGTCCCCATGAGTTTGACCTCTGAGACCTTCACAAGGGGCCACGCCACCCGGCTGTCTCTCTAGTGGAAGGAGACCCTGGGGTCCCAGCCCTGGTGGTTGGCAGAGGCAGGGGGCTCCCCATCAGCGCATGAGGGGGGCTCCCACAGTCTGGCTGGAGGGAGCTCTCAGGTAGAGAGGGGCGGGGACTGGCGGCCGGGCCACAGGAGCACAGCTGGCTTCTTCCCCTCTCGGGAGGAGCCCCTTCCACCCCAGGCGAGCGCGGCCCTGCCAGAAAGGCAGCTGAGAGCACCGCAGGTGTGACCTCTGTCCCCCAGGCGCGTGTCCATGGCCGTCCCTGCACCAGTCACAGGCACAGGGCGTGACCTCTGTCCCCCAGGCGCGTGTCCATGGCCGTCCCTGCACCGGTCACAGGCACAGGGTGTGACCTCTGTCCTCCAGGCGCGTGTCCACACTGTCCCTGCACCGGTCACGGCCACAGGGTGTGACCTCTGTCCCCCAGGCGCGTGTCCACGCTGTCCCTGCACCGGTCACAGGCACAGGGTGTGACCTCTGTCCCCCAGGCGCGTGTCCACGGCCGTCCCTGCACCGGTCACAGGCACAGGGTGTGACCTCTGTCCTCCAGGTGTGTGTCCACGCTGTCCCTGCACCGGTCACAGGCACAGGGTGTGACCTCTGTCCTCCAGGTGTGTGTCCACGCTGTCCCTGCAATGGTCACAGGCACAGGGTGTGACCTCTGTCCTCCAGGTGTGTGTCCATGCTGTCCCTGCACCGGTCACAGGCACAGGGTGTGACCTCTGTCCCCCAGGCGCGTGTCCACGGCCGTCCGTGCACCGGTCACAGGCACAGTGAGCTGGGAAAGAAGGTTCTGGAATCCTTTTTCTTGTTCCTTAATATTAGACCCATTTTCCCCTTTAGTATGTCTACAACTATTTTCTTTCTTCAATGGCAGGAAACTCATGCTCTAGTATGTATTTTAAAAATATTAAAAATAAAATAAAAATATATTTATTAGCATTAAAAATGATGAAACCTCTCAAACATCCAGAAAAATATAAAGAAACATAGCAAATACCCATGTTCTCAGGACTCTGATTTAATCAATGTGAACATTTGGTTATACTTCAGATCCTCTTTCTAAAACAAAATTAAATTACACATCAACAGATGCGTGGATGGATCACATGTGGTATGCCCACGCAGTGGGATATGTGTTCAGCCTTAAACAGGAACGAAATACCAATACATGCCACAACGTGGGTGAACTTTGAACACATTCTGCGAAGTGAAAGAAGCCAGTGGCAAAGGCCCACATGGGGTGATCCATGTAGATGAGACGTCCCGGACAGGCCGGCAATGGGGAGAGGAAGCGGGCTTCTCGGTGCCAGTGGCGGGTGAAGAGGAGGCGGCCGATGGCGGGACGGTACAGGGCTTCCTGCCGCAGCGAAGAACCCGCTCCACGTCTAGACCACGGTGTGAGCTACACAGCTCAGCTCCATGAACAGAATAAAAGCACTGCACTGTACACTTTCAACGAGTGAATTTTGTGATGCGCGAACTGATGCTGGAATAACACATGTACCTACATGCACCCCACCCCTGCTGGTGCAATAAAAAATCCAAGTGTAACTTTTGATCCCCCTAAAACTTAACTAGCCTAATATTGATTGGGCGGCCTCCCGGTAACATAAACAATCAATTAACACGTATTTTATATGTTATATGTATTATATGCTGTATTCTTACAATAAAGTAAGCTAGAGAAAAGAAAATGTTAAGAAAATCATAAGAAACATAAAATGCATTTTCAGTATTACACTGTATTTACCGATACTACTGCAAGATGGATCGTTTCTCATCAGTGCCTACATCAATATAATGTCCGATATGACTCAAAGCACTGCAAATGTTATAATATTAGACATCAAAAATGAAAAGATAAAGTGAAAAGGAATGCAAATTTATTTAGAGGCATTAACGACTCATGCATTGCTAACGAAGCCGCAACAGCGATGCTTTACGGTGATGTCTCAGCCTGCGCACTAACGGATGGAGGGCTGTAACTGTCATGGCTACGGCTTTACAGGCATATTCATAGTCGTCTTGAAAGCATTGCGGCACTTTTCAAAACAATGTCCCTGTGCTGACAGGCTGATCAAAGTTTCTCCAGTTATGACAGAAAGAAAGAGAGAGAGAGAGAGAGAGAGACCATACAGTAATGTAATTCTTTGAAAGCAAAGTTATAAAACAGTAAGAAAATTAACACATTCTTAATTCTGTATTAAATATCACCCGCCATGTGTCTATGTAGAAATACTCTACCCCGTCCGTGCAGGTCCTGCACACGATACTCTCCGTGACGGATCTTCAGGCGGAGATGACGAGATGCAGGGCCATCTCACACGCTCTTGCTGCTTCACACACAGACACGTTGCTCCCTGCGGGGCAGGGTGACTCTCTGGTATTCACGAGGTGGGGGGCCCTCCTCGCCGTCCCCGCGTGGAGCAGCTGAGCAGAGAGGCAGGCACGTGCCGTATAACTTGATGGGAAGGTATCACAACTGCTGTCTGACTCCTTTGCTTTTTCACTTCTTTAGAAATGTTCCCATGCAGTGCCCACCCTCCCTCGCCATGTGCTGCGTGTGCTTTAGGCTCGGGGCCGTGCCGCAGGGGGTCGTGGCAGAGAAGAAGTCTCGAGCGGGCAGCGCCCTTCTGCCAGATGCCGATGTCGGGTTCTTTCCCGGCTCTGCGTCCTCCGTGCCCTCCTCACTGTCCGCAGCGGTTTGAAGCACTCACCTCCGCCAAGTCGCCTTCTGGCAGTCCCTCTGGTGTGGCATCTATTAGCTCTTGAGTTTCTCCAAGACCCATAGCTTTATTTTCTATTTTTTTTTATTGATTTAAACATATTTTTGAAGGGAAAGGGAGAGAGAGAGAAACATTGACATGAGAGTGAAATATTGATTGGCTGCCTCCTGCACACCCTCTACCAGGGATCAAGCCCACAACCCGGGACCAGGAATTGGTGCACAGGACTACGCCTAACCCACTGAGCCACACCACCCAGGGCACACCACCCAGGGTGCCGAGACTCAGCTCAAAGCCTTCACCCCTCCCCTTTGATGGCTTCCTGGCCTCTCCTCGCAGATCCTCTCTGGACGCAGACTTTTCTAGAACAACAGTGGCATCTTCAGTGTGTGATCCTGCCCGACTTCCATGATGTTCTCTGTGCTGGGATCTTCAGTGTGTGATCCTGCCCGACATCCATGATGTTCTCTGTGCTGGGGTTCTCTTTCCTGGCATGGACAGTCCTCATCCTTCCCATAGAGTCCCGTGTGGTGAGCCCGAAAGATCTTTACGACCCCAATCTGGAGGCTGAACTAGAGACACTGTGTGCGGGGTACGTGCCCCACGCCCATGCCTTTGGCGTGGACCCCATGGGGTTCTGGCCGCACTCCACAGGCGCTTCCCGGCCAGGCGCTTCCTCGCTCGGGCACAGCAGCGCGGGAGCCACTGCAGAGGGCTCCGCGGGCCAGGCCTCCTCCCCGGCAGGCTCGGTGAGCAGCTGCGTGGACACGCCGCCCTGGCCATCACCCACTGCTTGTGCAGAAACAGCCGACTTAGTCGGCTCCTTCCTCCTGGAGCCCAGGTGCTCACTCTCTACTGACTAACCAATGTCTGAGGTGGTCCCCCCCGCCCCCCCAGAACAGGGCACTTTCATTAACAACCTGCTCAGGCTTTTTAATGGCATCTGGGAACCTGTCTGCTGCCTCCTGGTTGGCAGAAGCTGCTTCTCCTGCTATTTGACGTCTTTTAAGCCAATTTTGTTTCTAAGATAATCAACCCTTTGCTGGCATGTATTCTTCAGCTCCCGCTCCTCCCCGTCCTTTTGCTGTAAGTTGTCATATAATGACTTCACTTTTTTCCCAATCTTATTAGCTACAGGTATGCCTTGCTCATAGCGACCCGGCACCCACATAAAGGCTGCATTTTCCATGAGATTACAAGGTGTTTTGCAGAAGGCGCCAGGCTTTGGCGCCGGCTGTGGAGCTGCTGCAACGGCTCCGTGCACGTCCATCCGCGTCCGTGGCCCCGAGGCTGAGGCATTCACCTTGAGCTGGCAGGCAGCCAGCGCCGCAGACTTCAGCCCACCGTGCCTGGCGAGCAGGCCAGCCTTTCCTTGTCACGTGCTGACTCTCCTCTGCTTCGCGGGGGCACTCCCCGCAGCCCCAGTGGCCCTCTGGGTCCCACGGTGCCATTCCCGGGCCATGGTGTTGCACAGCACGATGAACATGCACAGGACTTCGGAGAGACCACTTCTTCCTGCAACGCGCAGTTTGCTGGGCAGACGGAGCGCTCGTGTGGAGAGGACCGGCGGCCGGCCGAAGGCACGCAGTCAGGACTTAACGCTGCAGCCCCACCTTGTTCCCACTGCTCTTGGCTGTGGGTGGTGCCGTGGATGGTCTGCGGTTTTGTGTGAAATATTGATACGTTTGAACTTTTTAGAGTAGATTTGTGTGTATTTTATGGTAGTAAATAATAAAATAGACTAGTATCTAGATATATTTTGTTATTTTATGACATGCCCTTTTCACAATTTTTTTTCTAGGCCCCACAGTTTGTTTGAGTTTTTTCAAATTATTGCAAATCTCCAAAACAAAGTCCAATGTTTGTTGAAAAAAAACCTGTGTGGAAGTGGCTTGCGTTGCTCAGCGCTCAGCTGTGTGGCTCAGTAAAGGTGTGTTGCTCGCAGGGCTGTGAACGAAGACCCCAGACTGCAGCTCACAAGTGGGGAACTCACTGGGTGGAGGCCCAGCCAAGGCCTCGGCAGATGGCTCCTCCTGAGGCCGGGACAGGAGGACCTGGTAGGGCCTCTCTGCTGGGCTGGCAGGCGGCCGCCTTCTCCCTGGGTCTCTGCACATGACCTTCCCTCCGTGCATGTCTGCCTGTGCATCCAACTCTCCCTCTTATACACGCCCAGTCACTTGAGTAGGCCCCCCCTCGTGCCCTCACCAGGCCTGGTCCCCTCTGCCAGGCCCGCCCGTTAGGAGCCGTTCTCTTTCCTGTGGCTGCTGATGCAGAGCTGGAGGCTTCCCAGCACGCAGGACAGACCTGAGCCCCTTGGCTGCTGGAGCCAGGCGGCAGCCCTGCCCTGGCCCCCGAGGGCTCAGCCCCTGCACCCAGACGTCCAATCCCACCCGCACTGCCTGGGCCCCGCGTCCCAGCACCGAACCCGGGGCAGTCCGCCTGGCCCTGCAAAGGCCACAGCCCAGCCGCCACGGGAGCAGAGGGAGGCCGGCAGCTCAGAGACCTTCAGGAAGCCATTGGCCTCGGTGCTCGTGAGCTGTCAGAGCCCCGTCGGGCCAGCGCGGGGTGTGTCGGGCGCTCGGGGAGGGGAAAGCAGCAGGCCATCAGAGGGGCGCTCTGGACGGCCGCCCTGGGGTGACCTGCCTCCATCCCTTGGTGCACATGCCTCCTCTCCTGGGCCAGGACCAGCTTGCGGTCCTGCTGAGAGCTAGCCCTCCTGCCCAGGTGCCTGTGGCCACCGAGGGGCTCGGGTTCGGGACTCGGGACTGGAGGGCAGCCGGAGCCGAGCGGAGGCCGCAGCCAGGCCTCCTGCTCTCTGCAGAATCTTCCAGAAACTGAGCAGCTCCACGGCGGCTGTCCTGAGCGGTGACCCCCGCCGGCAGCTGTGGCACACGATGTGCTGCAAGAGTGTTTAAAACACGCAGACTGGCCTGTAGTCAGGGCGTTGACCCCTTTCCCCAGGTCGTCAGATAAGAAAGGCCAACACAACAGCGTCTGGTGGGAATGAATCCACGTTACACCTTTTTGTTGTCAGATCAGCAAAAAATATATGTTTTGGTGTGCCGCAGAGTCTCAGTGAGTAGTCCGTGTCCGTGAGATGGAAAAGGTGGGGATCGCCGTCCTGGGGGCAGCTGGGCCCGCAGCCCTGGTCCTGCTCCCCCTGGTCCCGACCCCCCACCCTGTGGCCCATGGCAGCTCTCAGGTGGGTTTCCTTAAAAGCAGGTTGTGAGACAAGGATTTGGGGAGAAGTCGTTTTGGGGGGAGATGGTCCCAAGAAGCAGCAGCAGGAGGGTGAGAAAGGAGATGGGAGAGGGAGGCCAAGTGAGTCTCGGTGAGGAGGCGGGAAGGGCTGGCTCTCCTCCGGCGGCCCTGAAGGGATGGCAGCCACGCCCGGCTCCACCACAGCGAGTCCAGGAAGCTGGGGTTCACTCAGGAGCTCACTCCCATCTGCCCCTCCAGTGGTGACAGGCACAGAGGGCTGCTGCCTGGGAGCCCCGCCAAAGCCTTCACAGCTGTGCCGCGTGGGCAGGCCCCAGTGCCGCTGTGCTGAGGGAGCGAAGGGACCAGAGTGTCCACTCAGGAGCGGCAGGGCCAGGCCTGTCCTGCTCCCTGCTCCCTCTGCAGAGCCAGTTCGGCCCATGGCACACGGAGAACTTAGTAAATATTTGTGGAATGAATGTCTCACACAGGTGTTACCCAGTTTTCACTATGGATTATAGCCACCAATTATGGAATTCTTCCTCGGGGCAGGCCTGTGCCCAGTGCTTTCCCTCCCATCTCGCCCCTGAGGGCCCTTTGTGACAGGGATGCTACCCCCTGGCCGAGGGCGATGCCCACAGGGCAGGGCGGGGCAGCAGGTTGCTCGGCATGGAAGTAGCAGCGAGAGTTAAGCCAAGCTCCTGTGTTTCTTTTTTTAAAACACACAAAACACCCAACTAACGTCCACACCACGAAGTGCATACACATGAAGGGTACAGACTGAGGGACACATGCACACGCGTGTGACCACCGCCCAGATCGAGACCAGAGCAGGCCCAGCAGCCTCGGGGGCGGCCGTGCCCTTCCCAACCACGCCCTCCGCCACAGAGGCAGCTGCATCTGGCTTACAGCCCCACGATTCATTGGTCTCTTCTTGACATTTTTGTGAATGGACTCACGTAGCCTGTGTATGGCTTTTGGTTTGGCTTCTTGCACTCAATATTATGTCTCTGACCTTCGTTCTTGTGGCTGCATTATTAGCGGTTTATTTTCCAATGTGAGTGTGAATGTGTGGAAACATACCATGGTGTGAATACATCGCACTCCCCTGCTCCCAGTTCTGGGAAATAGATAAGGCCACTCTGAACAGCCCTGTATGTCTCCGAGGCGGACACAAGCACCCATTCCTGTTGGGGCGCTGCCCAGGAAGGAGTAGCTCTGTCGCTGGGCGCGCCTGTTCAGTGTTAACAGGTTCTCCCGAGCAGTTTCCTCGCACAAAGCGCCGGCACAGCTGGAGCCGGCACATCCAGCTGTCACCACACACTGTGTCACGAGGTCGATAAAAGGTTTTTGAGCAAATTCTGTTGCAGCCCCTGTGGAAGGGCAGGTGACTTTGATGTGGTCTCTTCCGCAAGGAACATAATCAAGAAGAGGTTCACACTAATAACCACCAGACACCTGCTCTGCGGGCAGCGGTACCGTGTGCATCGGCACTGGTTCACGCTCACAACCACCGGCCGCTGGGGCATTTCGGGGGCACGGTGATCCTGTCCCTCTAAGATGAGAAAACGGAGGCCTCGTCAGGGAGGTGATCCACCCACAGTCAGGAGAACCTCTGGGCCCTGCGTGGGTTCCGGCGCGATGTCTGGTCCTCCACGTCGCCGAGAGCTGCTGGATGCGCTGGTTTAAGAGCAAGGAGGGCCTGGGGTGACGCTGGGAGTGAGGCCTGCCCCCCACTCACTAGTTCTGTGAGCGTGGCAAGTCGCCCAGGCCTCAGTTCTCCGTCTGAAATGGCTGATGGCCACACTTCCGTCAGAGTGCGAGGGTTAGATGAGTCAGTGCCCGGAGCGTCAGGACCTGGGTAGGTACTATAGATGGTATTTTCATAGCATGTATTCTTTTCACTCTCTCGTTTTAAAAGCCACAAGTCTTGCCGAAACTGGTTTGGCTCAGTGGATAGAGCGTCGGCCTGCGGACTGAAGGGTCCCGGGTTCGATTCCGGTCAAGGGCATGTACCTGGGTTGCGGGCACGTCCCCAGTGGGAGATGTGCAGGAGGCAGCTGGTCGGTGTTTCTCTCTCATCGATGTTTCTGGCTCTCTGTCTCTCTCCCTTCCTCTCTGTAAAAAATCAATAAAATATATTAAAAAAAATAATAAATAAATAAAAGCCACAAGTCTGTGTGTTTGGAACCTGACAGTGAGGGGGACTCTGGTCCTTGGTTCTGGAGCTGTCAGACCATTGCAGGGAGGCAGCGCCTTCCTCCAGCACCTCTCCAGCCGCCCTCAGTGGGAGGGGCTCGCTCGGGCGGGGCTGCTCAGGAAAGAAGCTGGGCAGGTTGCTGACAATGAGCTGCATCTGCAGGGAGGCGGCTGGTCCTGCCAGCTGAGGTAGGCCCCGGGCGGGCGGGGCCGAGTGCACCGGGGAGGGCAGTGGAGCCACCAAACGCCCAGGGTGCGGTCCATGAGCAGGCCAGGCTGAGGCCACAGAGGGCAAGCCTTCACCTGCCTTTCATTCCCGGTGGCCCTGGGCTCCGGGCCGCCATGGCGCACCACAGGCAAGTGCTCCTGAGCGAGCAGCAGTCACCCCCTCGGATGCGAGGCAGGGGGGTGCCAGGTGGGGGAGTGTCCAGGGGCTGGGCAGGAAGCGGAGTCTGAGGGTGAATGGAGAGCTGTCCTGTGGAAAGGAGTGTGCTGGCAGCCCCGCCCAGCCTCTCCCCCACGGCCTCCCCGTGCAACCTCGGGTGGGGGACCTCGCCTCTCCCAGCCTCCGTTTCTGGGCCGAACCAACAGGAGTGTAGGCCCTGCCCCAGGGGCTGCTGGCAGGGTGCTGTGGGGCCGCCCTGCACACAGGGAGATGTGGGGCCGCCTGACATGCTCGCCTGGGCCACACATTCATTCTGGAACCTCACAGAGCCTCTCCCATGTGCCAAGCAGCTTCAGCCACGGGTGTGCAGAAGGGAACAAGACAACAGCAGCCAGGGAGCTGGCATTCTAGTGCAGGAGAAACACAGACGATCAGGATGAAGAGGGAGCCATCCTCGGGGGCCTGGGAGCGAGGACAAGGGAAAGGTTCTCAAGAGAATTAAGACCCCGGGCATCGATGAACAGACGGCAGGTCTCTGCAGCCCCTCTGGGGGTGGGCTGCCTGTCCCACTCCTAGGGCCTTGGAGGGTCCCTTCAGGTGATATTGCATGGCTGTGCCACCAGCTCTTTAGAGAGGAAGTTCCTGAAACCTGAGCCTCTCTCCTCGTGCCCCCTGGACCCCGTGCAACCTGGGCCTTCCTGTCTCCTGCTCGCCAGCTCGGAGATGGTCCTCGTGGTGGGGAAAGTTAATAAAACACCAAATGACTTGACGCATCTCCCCACAAATCCAAGACAACTAGATGGGCCTAGCTGATCAGTCCCGGGGATGCAGTGACAGGGGCCAAGCCCTGGAAAAGGAACTGGACCCAGGGCACCTGGAGAAGCCCGGGAACCGTCTGAGTGGTCGCTCCTTACAGGGCCTGAGGGTGTCCAGGCAGCCTGTGGGAGGAGGGGCCACGGCTGGGTGGCTAAGTCAGTGCCCAGGAACC